GCGCGGGGCTTCGGCAACGCCGTCTTCTGCTGGGCCCCTGCCCGCGCTCGCAGAGGGAGCTGGTGCAGTTCGTGTCGGGCTGCGAGGCCCAGGCCCAGGGCCCGCCGCCCACCCCGAAGCAGGTGATGGAGAAGTTGCTGCCCAGGAGGGTCCAGGAAGTCATGGTCACCCGGAAGGTCACCTTGTACTGGGTGGACACCACCGAGCGCTCCAAGGTGAGAGGGTCGGGAGCTCAGACTTAGGGCGCCGTGCCCTCGGGGTTCACCAGACTGGGCAGCCTACACCATACACTAGTCAGGGCCCCGGAACCTGCAAAGTCCAAGTGTGGGTTCCCCAGACCCGCACCAGGTGTTACACCCTCGGAGTCGGACCTGACCCCGGCTCAGCAAACTCAGTAGGTACTTGAGTTCTGATAAGAAAAATTCAGCCCGGGCGGTGTGGCTCAGTGGTTGAGCATCACCTGTGAACCAGGAGGTCACGGTTCAATTCCGGGTCAGGGCACATGCGCGGGTTGTGGGCTCCATCCCCAGTAGGGGGCGTGCAGGAGGCAGGCGATCAATGATTCTCATCATTGATGTTTCTCTCTCCCTCTCCCTTCCTCTCTGAAGTCAATAAAAATACGTTTAAGAAAGAAAGAGGGGAAAAAAGAAAGAATTCAGAGCCAAGACTCAGGTTTATTTGGAAAGTCACAGAGGTGGAAGAAGTGAGCGGAGAAGGGTACAGGTGTCCCGTCTGGGGGAGAGCATGTCAGGTCCTCTGTCCTCAGTGCTTTCAAGGGGGCGATTTTAGGGGCGGTCCCAGGGGGAGGATCGCGATAGAAGATTCGGCTGCGTTTCCAGGTGCGTCCTTTCAGGGTCCTGGTCTCCTCTTATTGGTGGGCGCCAGGGGTCATTATTCAGTGCAGCTGGTCCTGAGGTCAGCCATGGCATCGCTTGTCTGGTTTGGCTGCTTTTCTGAGGCCTGAAGCTGAAACGCTACTGAGGCCTAGATCAATGGATCTCAACCTTCTGGCCCTTTAAATAGCGAGTTCCTCATGTGGTGACCCCACCATAAAATTATTTTCG